AGTCAAAGCAAGGCTTTGGGCATGTTTTTTATGAGAGTATAACATTATAACATGATATAAAACTCAAAAAAGTTGATTTTACATGATATTACCCCTTAAAAAATTTAGACCATTTGTCACAAATAAAAGTTTTAAGTTTGCAAAACCATAAAACTGTGTAAGAAAATGTTTTTGAGGCGGTAYATTAAAAGATAAACAGAGGTGAATTAGTGGTCTGTGTACTTTTTAATCATTCAATTTTTGTTTTAAAATCAAACACTGGAAGTTTAGCACTAATGTCAAAGCAACTCAATGCTAACTGCAGATTGTATACGTAATTTAAAGCTTACTTGCTCCACCTTACCACCTTAAATGGTCTCATAATGGGATGAATAAACACATTTTACTTTTTTTAACTAGCTAAGCAACTGCATTTAATAACTTTTTCCCCCTAATATGTATCTTTTCAGAATGAAAGGGAACAGATAATGACCACAAATGTTTGGCTAACTCAGGTAAGTGTGACAAAAGCTCACATTTCCTTTGTCTCCCACAACCCCCATGTCTTCATAAATGTCCTTCTCCTGAACTTGAATTAAACCCTGTCTGTTCTTTCTCTTCCAATGTGGAACAAGCTACTCCTGTAATGGTGTTTTGAATATATTTCACTGATAATGAGGCATGTAATTAAAAATAAATTGGTATTTTGGAAGTGTGGCGAAATCAGAACCAAGACTTGATGACCAGATCCTCTCTGTCTCCCCAGCACTGGATTGATTACAGATTATCATGGGACCCTGCAAAGTATGAGGGTATCGACAAGCTGCGTATTCCATCCAGACACATATGGCTTCCAGATATTGTGCTGTACAACAAGTAAGCTTTTTTAATTTTAAGACATTTTTAGTGTTTATACAMTTTTAAAGTAAATCATCTGTGTAGTTTTCTTCGTATAGTAGTCCAGGGTATGATATGGGTCTCAGCCTTTCCTGTATTCATGTTAGTTTGACCAACAGTTATTATGGACAACACGTGCCTCAAAGGAATGGTAATTTTTCTCTCCTTTTTGCAGCGCTGATGGAACATATGAGGTCACTGTCTTCACCAACGCCATTGTTCTTTTTAATGGCAGCGTCAACTGGCTTCCTCCAGCCATCTATAAAAGCGCCTGTAAGATTGAAGTCAAGCATTTCCCCTTCGACCAGCAGAACTGCACCCTGAAGTTTCGCTCGTGGACGTACGATCACACGGAGATCGACCTGATCTTAAAGTCTGAGGTGGCCAGTATGGATGATTTTACCCCCAGTGGGGAATGGGATATCCTGGCGCTGCCAGGCAGACGAACAGTCAACCCTCTAGATTCCACGTACGTGGACCTTACATACGACTTTATCATCAAGAGGAAGCCTCTTTTCTACACCATAAACCTCATCATCCCGTGTGTTCTGATCACCTCTCTTGCCATCCTGGTCTTTTATTTACCTTCAGACTGTGGAGAAAAAATGACCCTTTGTATTTCGGTCCTTCTGGCTCTCACCGTCTTCCTGCTTTTAATCTCAAAGATTGTCCCTCCCACGTCCCTGGATGTACCCCTGATTGGCAAGTACCTGATGTTCACCATGGTGCTGGTGACCTTCTCCATTATCACTAGTGTGTGTGTGCTCAATGTGCACCATCGCTCGCCAAGCACCCACACCATGCCCTCCTGGGTTAAGTTGATATTTCTTGTAAAACTGCCTGCTTTGCTCTTCATGCGGCGCCCCCACAACTTCTCGGCACGTCAGAGACTCCGGCAGCAGCGGTGTCTACGAGCCAGGAGAGCCATTTTGGGGGTTGCTAAACCAGGCTTCACTTTGTCTTCATCGGCCCTCCTGTCCTCTGACTCTGCCTTCTCCACCCCAGGACACAAAAATGTTGCTTCACCGATGGGTCACGTCCACACAAACAGGAAGGGGGACTTGCAGCCTACAGATTACCTTTACAGGGGCTTCACCTCCACCCAGGACCTCCTGCAAAGAAACAACCCGAGTTTGGCCACTGATGTCCAGGAGGCGGTGGACGGAGTCCGCTTTGTGGCTGAGCACATGATGGGAGACGATGATGATCAGAGTGTATGTATGCAAAAAAAAAAAAACCACATATAAAGAGTACTATATTAAATCCATGTAGTGCTATGTTCACATATTTAGCACAAAAAGTAAGGAAATTCATGTTTGGTAGATTATTTGTTTGTTGTAACAATGCTTCTTTACAATATACTGTATTTTATGATTGGCACCTGATTGGCAGCACCTGGGGGTACCAGCACTTCAATACAAGTGTTAGTAGCAACAGCTAAGTAAGCAGTTTAGTTTAGTTTAGTTTAGTTTAGTTTAGTTTAGTTTAGTTTAGTTTAGTTTAGTTTAGTTTAAAGTTTATTCATTTAAAAACAACACAAATTCAACAAACAACAAAAACACAAATCACAAATTAAATTAAATGAAAGGCAGCAGAAGAACAAAGAATAATAATCTCTGCCCCTTTTTCACGAACAAACTAATTCAAAGAAAATATTCTTCAATTTACAATAAGCATAAATGATAATTTCCTGTTAAAATGAAAAAAAAAATACAAATTTTACATACAATAAATACAATATCAAAA